CCAACCCACAGCAGTTCCAGCTCGCCACGACTAAGGAGCCGGGAGTTGATGTTCTTGAAAATCCTGCTTCTTTCTCGTGATAGCAGGGATTAAGACCATCTGCGGTTGCTTTGCTTGTGTCGTCTTGGCTCCTCTTGAGGCGTGGTTTCTGTCAGCACTAGTGGTTGTGTACTGCCTCCCCGGTGAGTTTTGAATCAAAGACATGTTTCTTTTCTTTGAGCTAGCCCCCGTTAGCGTTTTTGGACTCCCCGTCTTTGATTTATCTTTTGCAGGTCTGCCTCTTTTCTTTCCCGTTGTGATTTGTTTTGGAGCTGGAGCATGTGGTATTTCTCTCTCCCCTTCGTTCCTGTTAGAATCAGGACCAAGGATAAGTAGAGGTGCTGGTCCAGGATGTCTGGATGAAGATCCTGTTTCGATGTCCCTGGTTTCGTCGTGGATCCTATGTGTGGTTCTCAGAGTATACATATTCGCTTTTGCTTCTGCAGCTGCGAGGATGTTAGCTGCTGTTTGTTCCACTTCCCCCCTGGCTTCACTAATCATAACTCTCTGTCTTCTTGCAGCACTTTCAACTGGGTCAGCACAGTTGATATAGCGGAAGGTGGCCTCCTGTATTTCCTCCAGGACCAGCTCTGCTGAAGGGACATGAATTGTGTTGGCTGCATTTCCTTCCTCTGGCCGGGAGGGGGGCTCAGGGGTTCTCCTTGCTTGGCTGTTAACCTCATCTCTCGTGGTGAAGAGGTTTTTTGCCGGGGGTTTTTCTCTCCACACACTCCCAGTGTGCTGCCTGGATTTCTCCCTCCCAAGGCTTGTTCTTGAGTGTACATTTTCTCTGTGGTGCACGTATTGAGGAGATCTTGTGAAGTCCTCCTTTGATTGTATCAACCTTGGTCTTCTTGACACGTTGGAGCTTGCCTCTGTAGAATCAGAGGCTCTTTCTGGTGGAGGGTTTCGGGTTTGCTTGGTCGCCACTCTCGGGCCAAAAGGGTTACCATATCTATCAACCCTCTGGTGGAAAGAGCGGGCCTCTTTATCTCTTCTTCCAGGTGGTTTGTATTTCGAGGGTGAGCTACGGTATTCCTCATTTTTGGGGTATTCCCCTCTGTTGATGGTGTTGCTGACCCAATTGTGTGTTCTTGTAGGTTGCTCTCCCGTGGTGTTCTCCCCTGTTTTGGAGGGGCATTTCTGGTGGAGATGTGAGAGGCTTCCGCAGACAGTGCAATGGTTCTCCAGTCGCTCGTATTCAAAGGTGAGATTGCATTCTTCTCCTGAGTCGAACTCCATTATTGTTTCCAAGGTCAGGTTCTTGAGACCGTCCACTAACACTCTGACTCTTGCTGAGGATCTTGTTAGTTCATGGTTTTCAAGGACACCTAGATCTCGGCCAATGCTGCAGATCACTGTGTCATGCCAGTAGTGGAGGGGGAGTCCTTTAATCCTGATCCAGAAAGGTATCATTGATGGAAAGGAGGATGAGATTACTGGTTCCCACTTCTGGAGGAGGATCATCCAGTAACCGTGGTGGTAGGGTCTATTGTCGAGGACCCGTTGCAAGTCCTCTTCTAGCTCAAAGCGGAATTGGAAACAGTTGTTTCCCAGATCTGACCCCACAGCTCTTCCTTGGATATTCCATTTCCGAGGTAAGGAAGGGATGAGTGCTCCAATATGTTGTTCATGTGGGTTAGTGAGTCTCCCTATCAAGGTGAGGGAGTTTGCTTTTATCAGCTCCGTTGTGTCCAGGTATGGAGCCTTCATTCTTTTAGTCGTTGATGCGGTAGCATTGTTGGCAACACCCTTTCCTTTCTCCGAAACTGAGAGTCTTCGGTTCATGTTTTTGGCAGTGACTTGAGGTGCAGAGATTAGGAGTGCTGCTGAGTATCCTTTACTAGCTCCTGGAGGAGTTTCAGGTCGACTCCAAGGGATAGCAACGGATGAGAGAAAGTCTAAGATGGGGGGGTTGCAACTTTAGACCCCAAGTTAGCAACAAAAAAAAAGAAGCTTTAGACCCCTTTAGCCTCCTAATTGTATTGTAGCTATGCCTCATGTGGACTAATTTAATTAAAATAGTCTGTTAAGTAGACAATAAAACTTTATAAATATTATATACTGCGATGCATCTTTGGTATGCTTCGTATTTTTTAATTCCCACGTATTTTTAAGTTTTACCACAATTAGAGTTTCGATTTGTTGATATATAGATTAAATTCTAATAGAAAAGGAGACAATAAAAGCAAAGAAAGTAGGGTGAAGACTGTCTACAAAATTACAACAAACTCTCAAGTAGTTGATTCCTTTACGACTCATTCTTCAATTTTCGTGGAGTACTCCTATGTTTCGTACTATCTTTGATTTGGTTTCTTGGAGATTTGAAAATGATCAAACCTCATGTAGTTTCCATGTTCAATATGATCACTGGTTACAGTTTCGATTGAGAGACCCTTTTCAGTAAAGTATAAACTGATATTCCAATCTAAAAAATACAGCTTTTTTGATAAATTGAAAATACAGCTTGAATCATGCTGCACTTTTTTTATTTGACAAATGATCAATTGAATTTTTCTTTATCCTATATAAAACTCAAAGCTATCCAATGTATATAAACTGACTCTTTTTTGCTGTTTTCTTTAAACGTAAGCAATTATTATGTTATTTAATGGTAGTACTTTCCTCATTCATATTTTGGTTAACAATTAAGTAGTAAGCATTATATATGAAAATGAATAAATATTCAAAGTAAACAGATAGATATAAAATATTTACTATATATGCAAACAAGCATCCGATGCTCAGTAAGAGAGGGGATGTGATTAAGAAAATAGTAAGACAGATAATCACACGTATTAGATTAGTTTATGCTAGAAAAAAAAAAGAAACACAGGGGAGAGAATATTCTTCCAACCACAGAGGTTACAAGGGACTAATAAGGAGGCATTACTTCACACGACAACAGCTTGAAACTTCACTCAGAATGGTTAGCTGTAACGCGGTACGCGCTATTGCATCATTAAGTGAGTATGTAGGGTATGTCGCCGATTCGATATTTATTCATATATTTACTTAGCTCTCTGCGAATGTTAAACCAATTACTTGATGAGGCTAATTCCAATTTGATCAGATTCTGTTCACTAAAAGAAGAAAAAAAATACACATGAACGCTAATGGCCAAGCTTACTAAGCATATAGCGTAATTAAAATCATTGAATAAAACTTGGTTGCTAGTTGCTACTAGCTAGAAGTATATACTGGTAGTAATAAAGAGAGGAATGGAGTCACGTGAAAGGAGTTATGGGGTAATTAATTTGGTTTATATAAATAATGAATAAAAATATCCGTACGTAACCTACCCACTCCAACTTCTTTTTTGTTTTTCATAACATACCGTACAAACCAACGTGACTACTCTTCGGAATTTAATAAATGGAATAACATAAAAATATTAACGAAATAAGAACGTTATGGGGCCTATTCTCTCCACTATGACAATTGCCCGTTACACGGTGTTTACTTCATCGGCTAAAATGATTCGTCGGCTAAAAACATATTCCCTCCATTCCATTTCAATATAAGTATTAAATACACATATTTCATACATTCTTCCTAAAACAAAAATGAGAGCGGTGTCGTAGTTGTTTGGGAGAAATCAGGTTCTATATTTATTATAATTTGCCTTGATAAGGTCGAAAGTTAGTTGAATGCAAAAGAAAATTATTTACAAATCATGATATGCATTTTTGTTTTCAAAGAAGAGGGGTGCCTAAATTGGTCTTAGCTTTCTTGCCTCTTGCTACACCTTTGTCTTCACGTTTTTAATTTCAAACTTTCTAGTAATAATAAGTAAACTAGACCATGATCCGTCCGACCGGGTGGGTGTTTTGTTTTCTTTTAATTTTTAGGTTTATACTAAATGATGTAAAATAAAAAATGAAGTATTAGGTAAATGGTTACAAATTACTTATGGGTTTAATTTTGATAGAAGAATACCGAAAAGTTTGTTGTTTGATCCGCGTAAGTGTTTGTTTTTATATATTTTATAAGTGAATATATATTTCTAAATTTACCCGTTTAAATAATTGTTTAAAATGACATTTTAAACACACAATTTTATAGTTTATATTGAGTAATTTTATTTTATCTTATAAACTATCATTGTGTCATACTTATTTTAAAAATATGACCCGTATATCTGCACAAATGTTTTTATTTTATTTTTATGGATCAAAATTTTATGATAATGTATAACTAAATTGTCTTATTTACTATTTAAAATATATGGTCCTATATATTTCTACTTTTTAAATTTTATTATTCTGAATTTACCTTGAACTATTATCTATATAAAAATATACATAACATGATATGTTTATATTAATATTTTTATTATATATTATATAAATGTTTCTTTTGTGACTCTTATTTTAGTTATTACTTATAAATAATAAAAATATAATTATATATCTTTGAAAAAAATATTGTTCATTAACTATTTAAAGATATGTAGATAATTAATAAGAAAAAAATCCTAAAAGGTAGGTTGATTAATATTGGAATTAATTATTATGTATATGGAATTAGTAAAAAAATTTATATATAATTTATTTATTTAATTACAAAAGGTATATATGAAAATAATTATTTTTATTAATTATTGTTGCCATAATTTTTTTTAGTTAAAATTTGATTTTGGAAATGCATTAATTAAAGTGAAAAGACAAAAAATCCTATAAACAGGGTAGTTAATAATTTCTCAGTGGCATAACATTGTAAATAATTAAAAAAACTCAGGGGTATTTAATATGGGTACTTCTCTTTTAATAATATAGATAGATAACGTTTTTGATCAAAAAAAAAAAAAAAAAGATCCATCACCATAATTTAATGGGCCAGGCCCAAGGAATTAATGCGAGCGAAAGTCATTCTCTTAACCTAGAATTGAGTCTTGTCTTATAACAAAGGAAGCCAGTTTAATTTTTGTTTCAGGCTCAATTGAAAGATCTGAATTGGATCTTAGTATATATACAAATATATATGTGCCTGAAAATTTTGATCACAGATTGATAATCTGATACGAACAAGAACAACAGATCATGTCTTTATTTAGTTCATTAAAACAGAGCAAAACTGTTGTCTGATTTTCTAAGCATGTTGTCAAAACATGTTCTTTTCTTATTTATTATCTCAATGGAAAACTAAAAAAAAAAACACTAAAAAAATTGCAGAAACAAGAGACTTTCTGCTGAACGATAAAGCAAAAAGTATAACATAACAATCTAATCGCAGAGAATAAGCCTAATCATAGCAAGAACCAAACACGAAACAGAGAAGAAAAAGAGCGTCACAAAATCCTTAGCAGACCATTTCCTCACAACCTTAGACTCAACCCTCAAGCTCTTTGCTCTACGAAGAGCGTCCACTTCCTTAAGCAAATCAAACTCAACCCCTTTCTTCTTCAACTCCTCAACACACTTCCTCAACAGCTTCGCATCTTCTTTCTCCCTCTCCAACAACTTCTCAAGAACCGACTCAACCTCAGACTTGTACCGCACGGCCCAAATGATCCCGAGAGAAGACACGAGGGAGCAGAGAGAAGGGATCCATGATCTCTTACATGTGGATGAAGTGGAGGTGGAAGCGTGGAAGAGGAGGAGGAGAGAAATGGAGTGGAAGAGGAAGAAGAAGATGTAGAGGTGAGTGATCTCTCGTCGAACGGAATCGATTTGAGATTCTTTGTGGGAGACGCGGTTGAGGATGAGTTCTTCTTCTTTTAGCCATTGTTTTAGGAGAAGCTTGTGTGTTGGTGTGTCTGCGATTTGGTGGAGAGGGTGTCGTGTCTTTGAGTCCATGGTTGGTGGGTTCGTGGTTTGATCTAAGGACATGGAAATGAGACTATGCAATGGAGAAAAGAGAGAGAGAGAGAGAGAGAGAGAGAGAGGTAGAGAGAAGCGTTTGTGGTTTTTAGAGGAAAGATGTTGATCTGATTAATAATAAAGTGGCTCTTTCTTTGGTAACGGCTCTTTTTGAGTTTTTTTTATTTATTTCAAAACTTATGCGAATTTACAGTTTTATCCTCTGATTCTAACGGTCATCAAACCAAAACCTGGCTAATGGCTTGGCTCCTGTCTCGCATTACCTTGAAAAATTGGGCCCATTAGACCCATGGAACACTAGGCCATATGTGAGCCCATAAACGCTTATTGCTAATCTTTAAGCTTATACATAGCATGCATGGCTCATAATATACTAGAAGTTGATCTTTTTAACAAAAACAAAACATAAAATTAAATAAATTGATACAGACTAATTGATGTGAGATGGTCATATTTTTTAAAAAGTAGTAGTAGAGATAATGAGTTTTACTAATACAATTAAGAAACAACTTCAAGATAAAGTAAGGTCAAAACTCATAGTGATACAAGAAAGTATTAAGAATATTATAAATTTGAGTATTTGTTAGCGAATAAAATGTTTTCGACTAGAATACATTGTGAATTTTATTTTTTACTAGAATACATTGTGAATTTTATTTTTGAACCGTTTCAAGCATATACGTACATAGATGCCCATATGTATGATCAGACATTGTAATTTCAAACAATTCTATGAAATTGCAGTAGAAAAAAGTGCGAACCAATCTGGAGGAACACAGCACACCACTCACGTTTTTAAGTGTACAGTTATTTAGCTCGTAACGCTTTCACCACATTCCACTAACAAACATAATTGCACCCAATAAAAATTAGGGTGAATTTGCTCAAAATCCTATAAGAAGTACATATTTAGCAAACTACACAAAACAAAAATATGTGGGGATAAGAATTTTGGAGCAATTACAAAACTAACCTTCCAGCTTTTAATTTTTAAAATTAAATTAAATTTAACATTTTTCTCTCTCATTATCCTTGTTTTCTTCACCATCTTCTTCCTCTGTTTCTTTTTTT